GACCATCCGTTGCCTTTATACCCTGCATGACAAGCGCAATTATATGCACCGACATTATTTGTGCAGAATGAATTTTTACTGCAGTTATGTGTTTTAGTCTTGCATTCGTCTACGTCTGTGCAAGACCATCCGTTGCCTTCATAACCATCATAACAACTGCAGTTATATGAACCGATATTGTTTATGCAGAAAGCATTTATACTGCAGTTATGTTTTTTAGCCTTGCATTCGTCTACGTCAGTGCAAGACCATCCGTTGCCTTTATACCCTGCATGACAAGTGCAATTATATGCACCAATATTATTTGTGCAGAATGAATTTATGCTGCAGCTATGTGTTTTAGTCTTGCATTCGTCTACGTCTGTGCAAGACCATCCGTTGCCTTCATAACCATTATGACACCTGCAGTTATATGAACCGATATTGTTTATGCAGAATGCATTTATACTGCAGTTAATATGTTTTTTAGTCTTGCATTCGTCTACGTCAGTGCAAGACCATCCGTTGCCTTTATACCCTGCATGACAAGCGCAGATATATGCACCAACTTTGTTTGTGCAGAATGCATTTATACTGCAGTTATGTGTTTTAGTCTTGCATTCGTCTACGTCTGTGCAAGACCATCCATTGCCTTCATAACCATCATGACAAGTGCAATTATATGAACCGACCTTGTTTGTACAGAATGCATTTATACTGCAGTTGTGTGTCTTAGTCTTGCATTCGTCTACGTCTGTGCAAGACCATCCATTGCCTTCATAACCATCATGACAAGTGCAATTATATGCGCCGACGTTGTTTCTGCAGTATGCATGCTTGCTACAGTTGTGTGTTTTCATCTCACATTCATTCTTGTCTATACATTGAAACCCGTTGCCTTCAAGTCCGTCTCGACATTTGCATTCATATCCACCAATGGTGTTTATACACGATGCATGTCCACTGCAATTATGCGTCCATGGTTTGCACTCATCAACATCTTGACAAGTTCGTCCATCACCATGGAAACCTGACAAACAGGAGCAGTTGTGACCACCAATTGCATTCGTGCACAATGCATGGGCACTGCAGTCATGAATTTCTCTTTCACACTCGTCTATGTCTTTACACGAAAAGCCATTACCTTGAAATCCGTCCAGGCAGATGCAGGTATAGGAGCCAGCAGTGTTATTGCACAACGAATAAGTAGAACAGTTATTTTGGCTTATATTGCACTCATTGACATCTGTACATGAGCGCCCATCTCCTTCGTAACCAGGAAGACAAGTACACTTGTAGCTGCCAATGGCGTTCACACATGTTGCGGTTGAGAGACAGGAATGCAGTTTTTTGGATAAGCACTCATTTACGTCTGCAAGAAATTCAAGTTGGAAATTGTAATTAGTCTAGAAAAACTGTCCGTTTCAGACAAAATGCCTTTCGCTTACCTATAGTCTATTCGTAACGCGCATGCCCGTATTTACGTGAGCACAGTGTTTCAATCATCTGCACTGACTGAACTGCTAAATTATGTTGCATTTCCTCCAGTTAGAGCTTCAACACTTCCACCCGAGTTTACCTTTGAAGTTACCGATTTTATTCGATTAACCGCCCTGGGCACTTATTAAATTTTTGAACCTTGAGAGTGGGCGCTTATTCGAGGTGGGCGCTTATTCGAGGCTAGGCGCTTATTAAATTTTCACCATTTTCAGCAACTGAAGTATGTTTATTTTGCAACAAAACAATAAATGCTAATAACAAAACGCGAAGAAGTAACAAAGCAAGGTTTCTGTAAAATACTCTGAAGAAAACTCCGTCCTCGGGGAAGTCTCCTATTGGAATTTATTTACTCAAGTGGCTGTGGCGGGGGTGAGCGCTTATTTGATTTTGATTGGGAGGAGGAGGGGGTGGGCGCTTATTCGAGGCTGGGCGCTTATTAACTTTTTCTGCCTTTAGGATGGGCGCTTATTCGAGGTGGGCGCTAATTCGAGGTTGGGCGCTTATTCGAATAAATACGGTAAGATTTAAGCTTCTGACAGTCCATTACAATTTCAATAAACAGACAGTCCATTTCCTGAGTCTGAGGCCAACAAGATTTTGAAGAAAAATGTTCCAAAATCTTCTTAACCTTTTTCTAGGCAACTTTCATAAACACAACATATAAAACATCGCGATATCCCATAAATATAGTTGTTAAAAATTCTCATTACAGAAATTTCAACGTGTCAGAGAGAAGATGCTAAATAAGCATCTCAAAGACAGTTCCGATGTGTTGAACAAGGCGTTAGTCGTCCCGGCTACTGCCAAGTGGTAGCAAAAAGGTTTTCAGTGTGGTGCTACTGCCGTGCTTCAGGTCGACCTTAACTTAATCCCCTGAACTGGGTCCTTGCCCCATGTAAGAGAATCCAAGACAGTCTTGGATTCTGGATTCCACGCCGTAGATTCCGGATTTTAGGAACAGGATTTCGGACTTTGTCAGTGGAACGTGGATTCCGGATTTCAGTTTTGCGTAGGATTCCGGATTCGAAAGCCCATTGGCTAAGATTCCGGATTCAACAAGCAAAAACTTCCTGGATTCTGGAATCGGGATTTCCTTACATGGGGCGAGTCGTCGTGCTACTGCCGTGCTTCAGGTCGAACTGAATTCGATCCCTAGCCTCAATTTGGCCCAACAGAATCTGAAGTTTAAAAATACCCTTATCTTTCTCTGACCATGGCACGAAGAACCGTTCCCTTGAAAGCCATTGTTACAGACACAGACATGACGATCCTTGTTCAATGGGTCTGTTGTACAAACAGCATTGGCATCACATAGTGGCCTCTGTCTGCAATCAAATCCAGTGGCCAATATTCGATTGTCCTCTTCAACTATGGAGAGCCAGTGAATAAAAAAAATAAGCAAGGTTAAGCCTATAACAGTTTTTGCAGTTTTATAGCAAAACATCGGAGTACATTTACACGGTGTCCCTATAATTTGAAAAGGTTTCGTGGTTATTGCATTATAACTGGGCTGGTATAAAATCTGTAAGGATTAGACAGGATAGACAATTTAAATGGTCTGAATCAATAAGTAGGTTACAGTTTCATTCAAAACGGCAATTCTGTTGATTGCTAAATGCACCATCTTATTTAAAAAATCAATATCCTTCGTGATGTTTGATAATTTTGTTTCTCTTTTGCAGCATAAATGAAATACAGTGTAACTTTGTAACCAAAAAACCTGTAAGCGAGGCTTATTGCTACCTTCAACTACGCGACAAAGAGGCCATGTTGGTGGAACAATATTTTTTGGGATAATTTGCATGAAGGAAGAGTTTAGGAAGGACTGCTTTTGTTCTTGTTCACCAGCATGGCCGCCGCTTTTATGACTTGTGGCTCTTCGAATATCAGGGAGCTTTGGCTTAACGAAGACGGCGATTGCAGCAAAAACTTTACCATGAAAAAGAATTCCAGCTGGTTTTAAGTACCAAATGGGGGTGAATTTCCCTGGGGTTGATTTCTTGAGGACCGAGCCCACGAAGAATAAAGATGGATTCGTAGTTGGGTGTTTCATAGTGTTTATTAAAAGTGGGTTCATTAAGGATCCTATATGGTGATTTTACGTCATAGTCGTGCAATCATGGCAGAGAAATGTACCAGTGTGCTTTATGTTATGCTGTTGTTTTTGTTAATATAAGAGCTCTTGCTTTTCTGACGTTCTGGTTGTCGTTGCCGGCGTCGTTGCAAAAGCTCCCTGATAATAAAGTTAATAGGGAAGTGCATTGGTCATTCCGAAACGGAGCCAGACGACGGAGCCCAGGCGGAAGATAAAATTTTAAATTTTCTAATATTACCCCTTAATGCTTTCCGTACCTACCTTTAAGTTCTGATGATTTTTGTCCCGGGTTATAAAATGCCAAACTATAAATAAGAAAACAAGCCAAGAAAACTATAGTCACCCCAAAAGCGAGCCAGAGTTCTTTGGATGAAGCGATTCTTCTCCGTAAATTTCGCATAAACACCTTAACACTTTTCAAGTCAAACATGATATATTTCCTTCAGATATAAGACAAAGGTGAAGCCTTCACAATTCTTTTGCAGAGTCTAAATGAGCAAGCTGAGCGAAGCACATTCCTGGAACTCAGACCTGCTTTCGAATTCTCGGAGAGTCAGGGAAAAATCCCATGCCATGACGTATTCGCACAAAATACATCAGTGCTGACGCAGATCTCCAAGGAAACAGCGCGCCCTATGACTCCATGAGAAACGAAGCTGAACGAGTTTATATAGGCTCGATTTCGGCTGCTCTATCGGTCCTTCCCGAGAAGAGACGGCTGGACGCGTGACGTGTCTGTGACACGCGTCGTTAACAAACACCGGTAATGGGAAATGTCCGTAAATACTGAACACATTTTGTGCTTTGCCTCTTCGTACGTATTTACATTGACGATGATCTTGCAATTGCGAAGTTTGGAGTGAAATTACAACAGTCGTCTCTTTCACTTTAGCTGTCAACAACCATCGTTGCAGAATGGAAAATAATTAATGATTCAGAAACGGTTGGTTGAATTTCAAAAACATACTTATCATTCGCCAGAAGCTTCTCTAAGCTAGCGCTTTTCTTTGTAAATGTTTCAGGTTGTTAAGCTTAAAACGCTCTAAACCCCGATCGCAAACACCTTTGCATCCGCCGTTTAAAATCTGCTCCAGGGATAATTATGCTGCCTGCTCGATTTGAGCAGGCAACGATCTGATTGGTGCGAATTGACAATAGCAAACTCATGCGTCCAGCCGTCTGTTCGGGGGAGGAGCGCGGGCTCATTCCCGGAACTGCGGTAGGTAATCTAACTAAGGGCCTGTTTACATGGAGGTGGGGAACCCCAGGTGGGTTAGGTAACGTGCTTAAGTGGGGTAACCCGCCTGTCCATATAATCTCTCAATTTAATTTGATCACGTTTACATGATAGGTGGAGTGATCCGCCAAGGCTGGAAGCCCGGTCTGCCAAACCGGGTAAACCTCTCAACCGGGGTCAAATTTTGCCATGTAAACGTTTCAAGGTGGGGTAACCCGCCTAGCCGGGGTCGAATTCGTGATACATCAAATTCGCGCTAAATTCACTTTGGCTGTGGCTTTGCATCATTATCAAAGGCAACAAGAGAAAGCGACAGCACTGAAGGCTGCAGCAAGAGCAGAAAGTGAGTGTAGAAGAGCATTAATCGCCAAAACACGTGGTTTGTCAGCACTTTTCTTGTTTACGTGCTTAGTGACCATTCAATAATCTCGAGAAAGTGTACGCCGGGATGGCGGGATTATAAGATTGCATTATTTCATCAAAGGTCGGCTAAGAGACGGGTTTTTGTCTTTGTTAAATTTTTACATTTCTGCTACTATTAAAATGCAGAAAAGATGGTAATGATATATAAAAAGAGTAAAATTTGTTCCACAAATCTGAGACATAATTGTTACTCTAATTTCTAAAGATTTTGTGAAAACTATTTATCAACAAAGTTAAAAAAAAGATCAGAAATTAGACACATTACAAATTAATTCTACCACACCACGCTCCCTCAGTTCCAGTTTGCGCGCGACCAGCTTTCTGAACTTCGAGGAAAGGTCCATCGGGTGAAGAACGTGTTTCCCCCAGAAAAGTTTCCAACAGGAAAACAGGGCTATGTTTTCAAAGTTTCACTTCTGAACTGAATAGACCCTCCAACGGTTTTTCAGCTTGTGACATGGACCAGTTAGAGAAAATCCGTCGACACCATTAGTACTAGAAAGGCTAGAGCGCCTAAATATTAGTATAATTACCAAATTTGAAAGTGATACGTCTTAAGGAGGTGAAGATATAGCTCTGCAAAGTTGCAAACCTCTGTAAAATTTTGCGCTTTTGAGGTGAGATATATCTTCGTTAGTTTTCAACAAATTATACTTTCAAACTTGACAGTTTCATTCATTTTAAGGCGGTCTTTCCAGTGATGTTGACCGTTTTATGTCATCCTCGGAGACCCAGGGGCAGTCAGCCGGGTCGGGAGAAAAGGTGGGACGAAAGTTTTCAAGTACGGGTACGTTCTTTTGACCGCAACTGAAAACTTTCGTCCCACCTTTTCTCCCGACCGGACTGACTGCCTTGGTTCTCCGAGGATGGATTCATGTCAAAAGGTAAAAAAAACCATGCCGGGGAGGGTCTATTTTCCAGAGGAGGGCCCGAATTAGATCTAATCGCAGACTCAACTCATTTATTAAAGCAGTAATCCCAGTGTCATAGTGTTATACTTACACAGAAACAGACCGAGAGCTCACTAGGGGTCTTTTTAAGACCTGAGGTTATTTTATGCTTGAACACTACAAGTAGTCATGTAATTTTCACGTAAGTAAGAAACGGTAAATGATCCTAACTCGTGCATTGTGCGCTCAGTCCGATCTTGATCCGTCCTTTCGCACTGTTACTCCTCATTCTTGGCCAAAAGACACCCAGGCCAGAGTTCTTTTCAGTTTTCGGGTTTACTGATGTCTAGGTTTAGCGTTTCCGTCATAGTCAATGTCTCACTGACATCCGTACAAAAAGACTTATTTGACGATGTTGCTGTTAAAACTCCCATCAGTTCGGTTCTCGCAGATAAAAAGGAGTGTTGCTAAGATCAGGTTCGTTGGCCGCGTGGAATTCCTTCATAAAGGTTCTCGAAATCAGTCTCTGAAGGAGAAGCTGCGATGGCCGAGTGGTTAAGGCGTTGGACTTGAAATCCAATGGGGTCTCCCCGCGCAGGTTCGAATCCTGCTCGCAGCGGCCATATTTTTTTGAACTTTTTTACGTAACAAGAAACATTGCATTGGAGTTTGCTGGCATCAGAAACGGGACAAAAGGCAAACAGGGCCTTAGGGCAAGAAAATCAAAAATACTACATCATTCAAAATAGCCTTTCCAGTTTCAAAGTCCCATTACGTTTTATTCCAGCAAAGTGATTCTGTATCATGTGACCGTTTCTGTAAAGGACGTCCATTGTTCTTTCCCCCTCATATACGACCCAGTTACCTGGGTGAAACCATTACACGCGCACTTCCCTGCCACCTTAACTTAGTATGCACCTTATTATTAATCAGGATTTTCAACCATCAATCACGTACTTTGATTTTTTTGGTTATTTTCATGATAAAAGCGAACGTGCTTGTGGACCGATAACACATCAAGTGCAATTCTAGTCTCAGGTTTCACTTGAGTGAAACATCGGTTAAGATTAGAGTCAGAAAAAGCTTCACCCGACGCTGCGATGGCCGAGTGGTTAAGGCGTTGGACTCGAAATCCAATGGGGTATCCCGCGCAGGTTCGAATCCTGCTCGCAGCGTAACTTTCTTTTTGCTGATAGCTTTAGATCTAACATGGAATATTTAAAAAAGGCCTCTGTTATTAAACTGCCTGCGTGAGTTCAGCGCAAGTTTAATTATCATGTAACTACTTACTTTCCAGAAGAATTTCCTTTATATTTTTTATTCTATTTTCTTATTTTCAGTCCATGTGTAAGTTTTGAGGTTCCAACCTGATTCGTGGAGGTGTGTGGGTTCAAAGTTCCCTAACAGCAGCTGGTCATCGATCCTAACGATGATGGGAGCTCATAAACAGCAAAGACCACCGCAACATAGGTGTGTCCCCATGGCCATACAGTGACTCAAGGTTCGTCGATCAAGAAACTGAATTATTTTTCTTCGTTTTCCTGCTATACCTCTAGGCCTTATAAACTATATAAAAATTCCCATCCCCCCTTCACATTTAATCTTCCTTCTTTGATTCTCTGACAGTATAGCAACAAACGCGCTGTTTGCATTTACTTGTTTCGTAAACTCTTTTTCAAAGTGGCTTTTCTTCACACTATGTACATTAGAAACGTTGCTAAGTGAGGGTAGCTTACTTTAAATCATTTAGAGTCAACTTCATTACGTATAGGTGCTGCGATGGCCGAGTGGTTAAGGCGTTGGACTTGAAATCCAATGGGGTTCCCCCGCGCAGGTTCGAATCCTGCTCGCAGCGGTAATCATTTTAACTACACTTATTTTTTTAAAAAGGTAAATGAAACATGGCAATGGATGTATGTAAAAAGAATCAAATTCAGAAGATCGTCGTTGGCGCACAGCACATAACCTCTGCGTACAAATGTTTTTCCTTCGTTTCGCTCCGATGCTGTTGCACGTATTCCCTGCGAGGTGGGGGATCGGAGAAGTTTTGTAACCCTTTAAGCCCCGAGATCCACATACACATTCTCCAGACTCAGCTCTATACGTTTCTTTTAAGACTATTTGAAAGAATTTGGTTTAAGATCAAAGTATTCTCCTTTGGTAATATTTTTAGTAATTCAGTTTGGGTAGAGTTGTGTTTCCGAAGACTTCAAACTTTACCTAAGAGAGCTGTTTCCTATACAATTACTTATGTCGTCAGTATCTTCCTCCATATGTATACATAATTTATGAAAGGACAAAAGGCAATCTTCCTTGAGAACAACACGTGGCTTGAATTGAAAAAGAAACATACAAGCCAAATAGATCGTCTTGCACCTGGATCCCCCTTTAACGCGTGCCACGCCGGGTGCTTCTGATTAGTAAGCACTGGTGCTGTGGCATTATCTGTCGTATTGAGTTTTTCGATTTCCACCTTCCAACAAATACCTTTACATTGTACATACGTCAAGCACAAGAGTTCATTATTGGAAGAATACTTGATCACGACGAGTAATTGTGAGAAATATTGGACTTGGAAGTTGTAATTCTCTGGTTCTGGTGATCTTGCGACAAAAAACATGAACTTGTATGTTTTTTGGCGCTGAAAATAACACGATCCTAGTTTACTTAAAAACTGAAAATATTATTTGATTATTCGACAAGCTCAAAATAAAAAGAAAGGGTATCTTAAGTCAACGTTTTACATGTATCATATTTTCGAATCTCAGGGGTCTTGACTTCAGACTTGCGTTTCCGCCCTTTCATTGGCTGCTGTTATTGCCAATACTTAACAGCATAGTTACGGTTTCTTAGTAAGGTTTGCTTTCAATTGAACGAGCTGTTTAAAACATGGGCGAAATGCTTCGAACAGCACTATCACGGAACATAAAAATAGACATTAAGGAGAATCCATGTCAGTAGTTTCCGCATGTTTAATTCCTACTATCTTCCAGCGTGCTTCTGGCATTTTGTTTTCAATAATTTTCTGTTTATGTTAAAATTTACCTCTAAATCATTTTTATAAATGTGCGTTCTTTGTCGACGTCTTATTTTTTTTTCTCCGAATATCTAATTTTTACCCATAAAACTACTTACATTACATAGTTACCTTTTTAAGGTTCCAACCTGATGCGGGGAGCCTATATTAAGAGACGAATTCCATGAAATGCGAGATTTGTCTCCGTTTTTTAAGTCTACTACTAGACCTGACAATTAGGCCTTGGCGGATTGTGCTAGCATAATTTTTGGCATAATTGGAGCAAAAAAGCATATTTTTTTAAACGAGCACTGCCACGGCATAATTAGCAAATTTTAGCACTTTTGGAGCATAAATTCATAAAATTTAGTAAATATGGTGTATTTTCTACAGAAATAAATTAAGTCATCCGCAGTGAAGCAGGTTCTATTGGTGCAGCCTTACTCAGCCGCAGCTGAGCGACCCTTCTCCCTACTCTCAGCGGCATTTAGCGATCGGCAGGACAGCGCTCTGGCAGACTATCGCCAGGCCAGCGTAATGTTGCAGTACAATAAGCGCTGATATTGACTTGTGTATACTATTCTTATCCATGTTTATTCAAGCAACTATTGGTGCTGAAAGAACTCAGAACTGTCAAGACAAGTTGATTTACTTCTGGCTTGACACTTTCAACGTCATAGTTCGCTATAGTTTGTGTTAGTTTAAATCAAGAGAGTACGATATTCTTTTGGTTCAGTCAGTATACATGTATACAAGTGTGACCGTTAAGTAGTTGAAGTCATTTTACAACCGGTTCAGAGATTCGAGCCGGTTCAAAGGTTCAGAGGGCCGAGACAAACTGCCATAAAACAGAAATAAATTTACAACAACAGTTTATTTGAAAAACATCATAATTTGGTGTCGTTATTGCGCGCCTATATGTACAGAATCTAGGTCATTTTGTGAGCATAATTTCGGAAATCAGGAGCATAATTTGGGAATTCTGGCATAATTTTGGCATAATTTGGCAAAATTTCGAGCACCGCTAGTAGCATGATATGGCACTTTTAGGAGCAAAATCCGCCAAGGCCTACTGACAATCACTCTTATATGCCCCCACCCCACCAATATGCGTATTTTGCCATAGGCGAACTTAAATCTTTGCCTTCTCATAGCAGCGGACCTTTCTAATGGCAGTAATATATGTTTGCCAGGTTTACGCGACTTCATTACTCGTTTCATGCTAGCGCTGAACTTCAAGTGACGTACTTTTTTCAGACCCTATGGTATTAGAAACGTTGCTAAGTGAGCAAGGTTGCCTTAGATTTTTTACAGCCATTTTATATGAGAAGTAATGTAGAAGCTGCGATGGCCGAGTGGTTAAGGCGTTGGGCTTGAAATCCAATGGGGTTTCCCCGCGCAGGTTCGAATCCTGCTCGCAGCGTTATTTTTTTTGCTGCCTTTCTTAGTGAACCCAATTAATTAAGTGATAAGCTGATATCGTCACTATATATGGAAATTGAGCATATTACTAGGTCCTTTGAACAATGACCCAACCTCACTTCGTTGTCTGTTGATTCATCAGCGTTTTTTTATCCTTACACCAAAGTATGATAGCGATTCCGAGGTAGACGATTACCATCATGCTTAGTCAATTAAAGGTAAAAAAAGTAAAAGTTACTTTTCTCTGGAATAACCACTTTGCCGCCCCTTAATTTGTGCCAAAAATATATAAAATAAATCTTGACGCAGTTAAATTTACGAAAAGTCAAATGTTCTACCACAAAGTGATTGCTTTCAGTTTACTCTGAAATTTTTAGGCTGCCATAACCACGGACACCGCTGATAACATCTGATCTAAATGTGGCGCACACTTGACACAGCCCTGCTCGGTAAGGTGATATCTTGAAGGATGTTTGCACCTCCCTTCCTTCAGAAACAGTTGCACTAAAGTGAACGATAGAAACACAAATGTAAATATATCTTTTTAAAATGGTGTTCGCTACACGAACTGATTACAGAGTCATAAATTAAAACAAAAGGATACTTCCTAAAACGCCCATCACATACGAGGAGGTTCTGCCCAAAGGGGGTACCCAGGTACCGTCGGTTGCACCAAAGCTTGGACAAGAGCCACAGAAAATCATGTTCTAATAGGGTGCCAGACCTACGTAAACTTAGGCCTGTTCACAGGCCAGAATGTGAAGCCTATACTAAAAATCAGTGAAGAGATAATTTAATAGCGAAGCACCATGGGTAAGAAAATTTGGTAATCTATGCATCCAAGAAATTTTGGTACGTCCACCCGTTCATGTAAGCCGGGGTGGAATTTTACATTTCAAGTACCCGCGCGTTCAGCGGTACATCACATAGCCACCCGGATTTTTAGAGATAAAAAACAGCAACAACAAAGCCGATTCTTTCTTTCGACTTAATTTTAATGTCTTTATTGGCGTGGATAACAAAGAAAGAGCTAGAGCCAGAGATAAAAAACAAAGGAGACCAATTTCGTTTGAAGAATAACATGAAAATTTTATAGCGGCCGTGAGAAAATAAGAAATGCTAGCGGCCAACAAGGTAAAATTGAGCGGCAGCGAAAAAGGTGAACAGGACCACATACAACATTTCCTCCATAAAACGTGTAACTCGGAAGTTTCTGGAAGTTTCACGTTGTCGTCGTGCAAAACAACGGCAAAGAAATGCACAAAAAAGTGTGCTGCAGGTGCAAAGTTGTTTTCTTATTTGCTAATTAGACCTACTGTGTTTTTGGCTGTTTTCGTTGCCGTCGCCGCTTAGCATTACACGATGTTTCAGTAAACTATAGATATTAACGAAAGCTTCGCTTTTGGCCCTGACTAAATCTATATATTAAGGCTAGTTTAGTTGAAAACTGCAGACAAAAAAGAAATAAAGAAGTGATAAAAAAGTAAAAATACTTACGAGTTGGGGATAATTTTGCTCTTTGGATTAGCGCCCGAAGTCTCAATGTACCACTTTCCTCCTGTGATGTTTAGTGGCAAAGGATTTTCAAACGACAACTTGACTTCGATGTCGTTGCCGATTCTGGGTTTACCGCGAGTGACCTAATTGAATGAAAAAAATATGTCATATAACGTAAAACGTGGGTAACATTTCGAAAGCATGTTTTGGCCTTTTTCCTTCATTAGGGATAACTTTTCCAGTTAACCAATTCTTTTAGCTTGGGATTGAAAACGAATTATGAAAAAAGGAAAGATCGGAACGTAAACAAAGGAAGACATTTTTTGCGCTGATTTTCATCTAATGGAACAATGAACAAATGAAATAAATAAACAAACTTTTTTTATGTAGAACACTCGATAAATTGTGTACGTCTAATTTCGGCATAAGTTACCCTAGGCAAGCTTAGAGCAGATTGCAATTGGAAAAATGAAGTTCGAAGGCTTATACAATTTTTTATACAATTTTCAACTTAAAAACTATTTCCAAAATTCAGCAATTTACCTCTATCTTTATATCCGGTTTCTGGAACTCAATTATGTCATATGAAGCAAACCGCTGACCATTTTCCTTGACTGTCGCCTTGACATAAATCTTCAGGCCCCCGTCTGCTTCGCACTTGTCAAGATATAAGGCCGACGGGATCTCAAGTATAAAGGCTTTTTCTATACAAAAAAATGATGGAAAAAATAGATTATGCTGACTTGGCTCTCACCAAAAAATTACTGCTAAGTCCTCACAATAATATTAACTAATAAGCCTTAATAAGCTACGTGCAAACAGACGCAACAACCCAACATTGTTTCACCAACAATGTTGCGTGTTTTCCGTCCGTGTTGCAGTGGTGTGCAAAAGGATGCAACAACTCCCAACAACACGCAACAACATGCAATAGGGTGTACAGACAGACGAAACATGCCATGTTAGTAACATCCAACAATGTTGGGAGTTCTTGGCCAAAACGTTACGTCCGTTTACACCTGTAGTTTAAGAAGTTCTGTTGTCTAGAGAAGCAAGAGACAAGTTGTTTACCATTTACATGGGCAAACAAGTGTGCCCACGGTTTGGGCAAATGGTACAAAAATTCAGGACAGGTTAATTTCTTCCCCGAATCGCGTTGGCCATTTGTACAAATCGGTTCCATTTACCGAAAAACGACCTACTGCGAAGGCCTGAAACTGGTATCAAAGATGGCTTTAAAGAGATGGAAAAAAATTCCCGTTTGGAATATTTCAGATGTTCCGTTGGTCCCGGAAATTTTCCGCTGGAACGATCCAGAAAGTCGTGTTCTATTTACTTTACAACCGGGTTTTCCGAAAACTTTTTGTAAATGGTAAATAACCACTGTCAACCTCATCACCTGGAGCGAGAAAGACGAGGAGACGAGAAGAAGAGAGAACCCGGGCCCGGACCTGAAGTCCAGCTACGGTCCAGCTTTTCTCAAAAGGGAATGAAGAAATCAGGAATCACTAAAACGGATAGAGAAAGATAGAGAAGCATGATCGTAAAGGAGCAACAGACAAAAATATTAAAAACTCTGGAATTCTACCCACCCTTCCTCGGTTCCAAAATCATGTCAAATTCTTCCTCCTTCAAATCTTTGCAGGGTATACCAGTGTAAAATCCAATCACTGCTGTCATTTTACCCTTAACTGTACGGCTCTGGTAAGTGGTGTTCTTCATCTTCAGTGCCACACTTACATCCTTTCCTATGGGTACATCTTCCGGGAGATCAAATGTAAACTTAATGTCTTCAGCTGGTAGTCCATAAATTGCTTGGTCTTTACGGCTGCTGAATTTGTATGCCAGCTCCACCGCACGTCGCTCTGCTATGGAACCTAAAGGTAAACAAAAAACATAATTAATAAAATCCAGCTAGTGCNTCATGTCAAATTCTTCCTCCTTCAAATCTTTGCAGGGTATACCAGTGTAAAATCCAATCACTGCTGTCATTTTACCCTTAACTGTACGGCTCTGGTAAGTGGTGTTCTTCATCTTCAGTGCCACACTTACATCCTTTCCTATGGGTACATCTTCCGGGAGATCAAATGTAAACTTAATGTCTTCAGCTGGTAGTCCATAAATTGCTTGGTCTTTACGGCTGCTGAATTTGTATGCCAGCTCCACCGCACGTCGCTCTGCTATGGAACCTAAAGGTAAACAAAAAACATAATTAATAAAATCCAGCTAGTGCTCTATTATCAATGCTGCGTTCTGATTGGTTGAGCTACTACAAGGCTATATGTTATAGCCCACTAGTAGCGAAAAGTGGCGGCTTTGAAAACCAAAGCAACGGCTGAATCGCGTTTTGCTAGCTTAAGTTGTTTTGTCTCGATGTTTTTGACTAACTAGTTGGATTTTGCCAAATTAAACAATTATTCTTCTCGCCTTCATGGCCTCTGAATGAATAGCCCATTCGGCCTTTGGCCTCATGGGCTATTGACTCAGAGTCCATTCGGGCTCGAGGAATAATTGTTAATTATTGCATATGAATCTGAGGCCTGCTTTATATCAATGTCTAGTAATGTTGATTTTCTTCTTTCTGTTCTCGATAGCGGTAATTAGAGCGGACACGTTTTTACCTGGTGCCAATATACGCTTCTGAGAAAATGTCAAGTCGGCCGCTGAATTATATGAAACGTTTTCTTAAAGCATTTTTGTTAACGCACATGTTTAACTTATTTTTTGTCAATTTAGGCAATTTCTCCAGTTTTTTTTATAATCAAAGGATTCAGCATTTCCAAGTGACCTGCAATTTTGAAAGTTACAGCAATACCTTACAAGATTTCTTGAAATAACCACTAGTTTAATAGCCATTCGTGGAAGAAAACTGAGGCGAAATAAAATACCTTTATGGCACTACTTTCACGGAAACGAGATAATTAATGGCGGATCGAGCTTCCATTGGCCCTGGGCGGGGACAGTAGGAACACAGACAGTTACAATAAACAAGGTCTATTTGCTTAAAGCTAATATACCTTCAGGATGTTTGTACTCGTGAGTTATGTCTTCTCTGTCGTCGCTCCCAACCGCTTTAGTGCTGATCAGCTTTCCAATGCATTTCTTATCTACACGAATAGGTTTCATGGGGCCGTCTTCTTCCACTTCCCAAAATACTCGATCACCATTCACCTCAGCGAACACGAAGCTAGTATCATACGGTAAATATACCTCTCCTTGTTTCACTGCTTTCACCGAGGCTGGACCACATCGAAACACTCCTGAAACCGTGTAAATCATTTTGAGCTTTTGAATAATCTGAGATCAGGCTCTTTTTTTGTTTTAACGCAACCACGAAAGAGAGCTGCTAAAAGAATGGGCCTGACCTCAGGTGAGCTTATAGAGATAAGTAATTCTTTTTTGAAATATTAATTTTGTATTTTTAGAAAATGTAGCTCTTTCACACTGAGCAAAACTGGCTTCTTGAATAACTTGACCATTTATGTGGCAAGTATGAAGGCCTTATATTACTAAATCTGTTTATTCACTGCAATATATAATTGGGCATGACTTGACTTCTAGTGTGACTTCAGTACTTAGGGGTAAGAGAATAAGGCATGGGACTGGTGACATGTAACACCAGCGTTGTATTGTGTTTTTCACAGTTCTAAGGCGTGGATTTGAGTCCCTAAAAACTGAAAAACACGAACAAAAATTTTTTTCATTTCTAGATGACCTCCAAGTATAACTGAAATTCTTGCTACATTTGCCACTGTTTTTCTTTTCAATAACAGGAAGGGAAACTATAAAATATTAATATATTGTTCTCTCTTCTTACCGTAACTAGTTTCTTGGGGCGTGGCATCATGCGCTTGCCACCCATCATGCCCGTCTGGTAAATCAGGGCGCTTGAACCATGACTCGTTCCACACGTGAAAGTTCCTAAAAACAGGCCAGGAATCAGAATTCGCATACCACTCTTCTGTTACACACTGACCAGCCTCATATCTACCGAAACTGACTGAGGGTAAAGACGAGTGAGAGAATGGGGAAAGACACTAAATCTCGATTGTTTTTCTCTTGACTAGCTCGTACCTTGCTTCACAGAGCGGAGCTCTTTTCGACAGCCAGGTTTGAGAGAAATTCGACATTGTTTACATTTTACAGTTTTGTATGACGCAGGCTTTTGAGAAGTCAGTGCATATCAATCTAGCTAAAAATATTACCAAACAGAGTCGTCCAATTCCTTCAGCGGCTTTCCATCTTCATCAAAATGGAAGTCTATTGTCATGCTGGCATCCGAGTCATGAGCCGAGGCAAAGTTTGTTACTGAGCGAGTTGGTATTCCGAGGGCTCTTAATACTGAAAAAGAAACATTGGTTTTTTGGAGAAAAATTTGTGAATGACGGCTATTACCTACGTAAACTTGCATCTTTTATGTCCACGAACAGCAATGGTGGAAAACACTAAGTTATTACTGTAGCATACTTACTGTCGTTGCATTTTACAGTTGAAGGGAATGGAGAGCTTTTCCTCCACTAGGGTAACAGTTTCAGTGGAGTACTGTAGCATTGTAAAAAGGAATTAATTGTTGAAAACGCTGAATAGGGGTAAACTATGATTCGTCAGAGTAAGACAAAAAATGTACTATTTAAACGAGCACTAGATTCATTTCAGTTTCTGATAACGCTTTCTTAATTTTGTAATTAACTACTTTAACTTGGTTTTTGTTACCTGGGTATAATATTGTCTGCCCTTCGATTCTAGCCTGTTTCAGGCTCCGAGATAGTCTGGTCCACTGAATTAGAGAGCTTTAGATTCTACGACGAGTACTACACTACGAGTACGAGATTTTCTCAATAGTAAGTAGTGATCGTGCGTGATGTAGCTTCATTTTGGCGGGAAAACATGGTAGCCGTCGTCATTCTACTACGAGCTTTAGCGAGAATGTCGTAGTGGCGGAGGCAAGTTATCAAATGTAGGAATTTTAGCATTTTGTAATCGGGAGAGGTCTTAACCTCCCTCAATAACGATAACAGTGCTTCCTTTTCTAGTGAAAAAAAGTACAGTGAAGAATTCCGGGGTGACTATTTTTTGACAATACACGAAAAAACTTTACATCAAATCTCGTACTGGTAGTCGTTCTCGTCCTCGCATTTAAAGGACTGAGAAGGCGCGAAACACGAAAATAAAACGAAAGGAAACTGGGTCCTAATCCTTTTTCCGGCCCCGCCATTGCCCCGCCAACTTTTCTTGTTCGTTTCACTTTCGCGTCTTCCCCGCTATCTGAGAGCCTGGAAGAGACTACCGCTCTTCTAGGGTTGAGCGTAGTTTTGCCTCGTTTTAATTTAGATCCATAAAGCCATTGTGGTCAAGAGTCACATTACATGGACCTTTGTCGTTCCTTCTTCGTTTTAAGTTTGACTGCATCAGTGGGGTCATAATAGAATTAACAGTTTTTTTATACATACATGTAGTAACAAGTCCTGAAAACACCCAGCACT